ACAGCCCTGATACAGGGTCCATGGAACAAAAAAAGTTAGACAGATAAGATGTGTGGGAATAATAAGATTATTGATAACTACCAGGCAGATTAGCTATCGTTATATAAAATTTTTCCCAAGACAAGGCACCTTTGTGTGTTGGTTTTGGGTTGGTGTATCTTCTGAAGGTGACATTTTCTGTCCTTTTTTTTTCCAGCATTAATATAATTATTTATAGTCACTTGGCCTTTCTCATACCCATTTTATCAGTCTATTGTTCTTTCTTTTATGTAAATAAAGAAGATATAGTGCCATCCAAGGAACAAAAGAAAGAACAAAAATATCACTTCTTTTGTATCTATTCTCCAAAAGAAAACCTGCAATTAATTCACTGGGCCTTATAAAAGCTTATTGTCCTGGAATTAATAACGATAATAATAATAATGCATTTAAATCAATGATTATAATTTAAATATTTTACTGCTTAGAAGAACCTCGGATGCTTTTGCATATCTTCTGTTGATCTACTTCTCTTTTCTTGAAAATAGAGTAGGGAAATAGGTCAGTGCCTGTGCTGAAAGCAAAATGCAAGCACTCTCATTTTTCTCCTCAAACATCATTATATTTTCACCTTGGCTCTGAGACTGATACCACCAGTGCCCGCTGGCTTAGTACTGTCTAACTTGTGATCTGGTTTCCTGTGGCATCTGTCCGGGAGGAGCCTTGTAGTGGCTCCTTGCCAAGAGCAAAAGTAGATTTGGCACTCAAGATCTTATTGTAGTTTGTAGGAGAGGTGCTTGCAGAGATGTATGTGCTTGTGTGGGGGGCCTACAAGTGGCCACTGAGGCTACGGGAAGCATGACCCTAGAGAAACCCAGTTTATAGAATATTCAGCAACAACAGTTGGCCTTCGCATCTTAATGTGTCCAGATTCTTCAGGCACCACTTCTTACGGATGTGATGTAGGAAAAGTTGCTTTACCTCTGTAACGCTCAGTTGCTTCATTTCCAAAATAGGGGTGGGGGTAATGATTTCACCTTTTGGAGCTGTTATGATATTGTATATCAAGCACCTGGCTGAGTTTTCTGGAAAAGAGTAGGCCCTCCATAAATGTTATTTGAATTGGAATGTAATCGCTGTACAGCTAAGGAGGACTGGGGAGTGCCGAGGAGCAGCTAGTCTAATTTTCTAAGCCTGAGATCAGATTCTGGTAAACAGACGACGATCTTACTCAGAATCTTGCTGAGATTTGGGGTATCTGTTCCCATAATGACTCCTCTGTGAAGAGTACATTGTTCTCCGTGGCCTCTGGCAGGCACCCCCAAAGGTTTAACTATGGGACACACAATTTCTGCAGCTGACAGCCCCACGAGGACAAAAGAAGTCAGTAAGTCACCACTAGAAATGAGCCTCAGCCAGGAGGAAAGTTGGGAGTCCCACAGAGGAAAAAGCCTTTGTGCATTAGAATGAAATTAACCAGGATCCAGCATAGGGTAGGACCACCTGTCCCACACAGAAACTTTCGGGAAGATGCACTCTCCTCACTGCTGATTTGCATAATTAGATGTTATTGGATTTCCTTAAGGAAGGGATCCTCATGCCCTTAGCATTTGACGCAAATCTTTGGGACAGTTGTTTGCAAAATGGCGGGTAGTCAGGAAAGGGTATAGGTGTGGATGAGAGTCACTCATTGATGTGAACCTGTGGTAACAGAGGGAGGGAATCTGTGGAGATGGATAATCTATGTGATTATTGAGAAAATGTGGGCTGTGAAGTAGTCCTAACAGACTCTTAAGGTCAGCATTTTGCCCTCTCCTTCTCACAGATAGAGGACAGGTGTGTGTGCTTCTTGCAGTGCTGCCTTTTATTTGGCAGTGGGGTTCCAGGGACCCAGTAGGTTTTGGTCTTGGCCTTGTCTTTTCATAGATTTGCCATGAGCTGTTCACTCTCAGCCCAAGTCAGACCCAATGCAGTATTTGGCCACATGATGGACTGAAAATATTTTGTGCTTTGCAGCCCATTGGGCCTAGGTTTGAATTCTACTTCAGTAATTTATAAGCTGATAATTACAGGAAAGGAACTTATTTCTTAGATGTTTGCATCTGCAAAATAATACTTTCTCATAAGGTTGTTAGAAGAATTAGAAATAATATATTTAAAGCACCAAGCCCAGTATCTGGCTAATAAATGTTCATTAAAAGATACACATTATTATTGTTATTATTTAGGATCTTACTTGTGTTTGAGTCTATACTATGAGAAAATTTCTACTGAAAAATAGACATGTGATGATCAAGTGCATTACAAGTGCAAAGAAGAGATTAAAAATAGAAATAGCTAACACATGTTAGACACTCTGGACTCATGTCCTGTATACTAAGCACGTGACTCTGTGAGATAAATCCTCTGTCCCCATTGTATAGATGAAGAGTCTGAGGCCCAGAGTGACAGAGTTAGGAAGTGGTGGGTGCCAGGATTCAGAGTCCGTGCTCTGAGCCCTGACATCCTACCGCCTCAGGATGATAAGAGAGCTCCAGGCATCTCTGAAGGATGGCTGATGGGAGAAGGATTACAAATATGCACTCGCCCACATAAAGACTAAAGGTATAAGGTGCAAGCCCTCTTCTCAGTTTCCCCTCTTTTATGTACCTCAGTGAGTGTGTATTTTTGAGAAAGTAAAACTGGCCCCTCATTTGGAGATATATTAAGGAAGGTTTGCTCTAGACTTCTAAGTTTAGATATTAGGACTGACCTACCCTCACCTAGTTCCTCCATTGTAGAAACTGCTCTGTTGTAGAAACACCTAGTTCCTCTGTTGTAGAAGATGCAACAGCCCCATTTTTTGAACTTCCGTTCTCTGTTAGCTAAGACCTGTGGCAATGCCTTCCCCTTTTCATTCTAGCTGATTATCAACAGCAGTAACCACAAGTCCTTCCTGCCCCAGAAATAAGTCTTGCCACACTCTCAGCTCTCAAAGAGCTGTGAACCCTATATTTTGTTCTGTGTGGGGCTCTGTCACCTCTGTCATGTCAAAGTCAGCTCCACAGGGTCAAAGTGTTGACTGAATTCTCAAAGGGTGCCTTGAGAAAGGAGCACAGGGTGCCTAAGGATGAGGAAAGCATGATGTAGTATAAACAGTCCTTATATTACACCTAAATTGTTGAAAGATTTTGTGCTCAATATTTTATTTAACAGTACGTTTTTTATAACAATAAGGTTGATTAAAGAAAGCTCTCAAAATGCTTCAAGTAAGACAGTCTGATCGTTTATCTCAAGGAAAAAAAAATAAAGTTGGTAAAACGGGGGATAAGAACAAGTAGAAATTGAAGTATTTGCCATCATTTTCCTCTGGATTAAATCAGATTTGGGATTTGTCTTCTCCATAGGTTGGGTGGTTGGTTGGTTGTTAGCCATAAATGGCTTTTTATTCAAGGGCTCAGGATTAGCCTAGATTTACAGCAGATTTAAGGTGTATTGGTGGGCTTATTGTTTGTTTGTTTCAGCCAAATAAGAACCCTATTTAAGGTCTTTGAATACCTTCTTATTATTATCCCAGAGCTACAGTGAAATGACACCTGCCACTTAAAATGAAGTTTTAGTTTATAGGGGGCCCTTTCTGACATTTCTGCCTCTTGGGCAGAAGGACACTCATGGACATGGCTCTGTAGTAGACATTCTGTCTGCTGGTTTTCGCTTGTTTTATTTTACAGGCTAGAAAAGTAAACCAAGAACACGGTACTGCAAATGAATTGGGCTCAGGGTGTTCAGCCTTGTCACCTGACAGAGTGGGTGGGTTTAGGGTGCACTCAGAGTGGGGTGAGATGAAGAGGGTATGTGGTTTTGTTCTGTTATTTACTGAATCTCTAATGGGGGATGCAAGTTCAAAAAAAAATGAACACTTTCATCATCATATTACATGATTACGACTAGAATTGCAGGCTCTAAGCAAGCATTCTCTCTTCCAAATGGGGGCTTTGGAAATGTTAAGGAAGACTGATATGTAAAGGCTTATGTTCTTGCTCTTTGTATCAGCCCCAAATATTTACTGAAGCTAGGAGAAGAAAAGGCAGACTTTCCTCTTTTCTCTCCCAAACGTGTGATTGTTTAGAACTCAAGTGCAACATCTGGAAGTCAGACATACAGAGAGCAATTTATGGAGTGTGAAAGATTTGAAATATTCAGTGTCCTTTAGCGGGAACTCAACTTTCTGGGGCTGCATTTTTTTTTTCCCCAGCACAAAGCAGGCAATTCTGAGATTGCCTTTGCCTCTCTGAATTAAACCCTTTGTGCCCGGATCCCATAAACAATGTGCTTTTTAAACGGGAGCCCCCTCCCCGCCCCAGCCCTTTTCTCCAGCGTAGGCAGCCAATCGGCTGCACCCAGCTGCATTGCTGGAGCACTTTCCATTCTGAGCAGCAACAACGTACTAATTTGATGCACACATGGATGCCTCGCGCACTCTGCAAATTCATCAGCAGCATCTTGCATTAGTCATCTGATGGACTGCCAAGTGTTTCATTTTCTTTTCATGTGACTTTATTATTACCACCTCTCTCCTCTCTTCCAAAAATCTCCGAAAAGGGAGGGGAAGGGGGAAAATCCAGCAGCAATCCAGCCCTGCCTTTCTTTCCACACAAGAGCCAGTGTGAGGCTGATAAGGCTGCGGATGCGTTGATGGCAGCCTTGCAGAACGAGACCTGCACTTAACTTGCAGCTGCCTCCCAAGCCGGGTTTCAAGATGTCCACGCCCCGGGTGACAGCCGGCGGGGCGCTGCCCTGTGCTCAGGCGGTGCTGAACAGCAGCAGTCTGCAGTGAGAGCCTGCCGCTGCCGCTGAGGAGCAACCTAATGGTGCCTGTGCTTTGTTTTAGTTCATCAAATTTCTAAGACTCATTAGGCACTTTGCCCCGCGCTCCTCTTCCTCCTCCTTCCGCCTCCCCACCCCCACCCCCACCCCTGTTTTTTTCTTCCTGTCCCTCACCGTGCAGCCCTAACTCTGGCTCCCGGTTCCCTTTTTGACAGTAACGGCACAGCCAACAAGATGAACGGCGCTTTGGATCACTCAGACCAACCAGACCCAGATGCCATTAAGATGTTTGTCGGGCAGATCCCCCGGTCCTGGTCGGAAAAGGAGCTGAAAGAACTTTTTGAGCCTTACGGAGCCGTCTACCAGATCAACGTCCTCCGGGACCGGAGTCAGAACCCTCCCCAGAGTAAAGGTACAGACAGTGGGGGTGCACGGTTTGGGGCGCCTAGGGGTTGTGGGCCTCCCTGGGCGTCGTGGGCATCGCGGGAGGGAGAGCTGCGAGTGGGAGCCGCCTGCTGCCCCTGTGCCCCGCGGCCAGCCGACTCCTCCCCGTGCCCCCGCCCGCCTCCCGGGCAGGTGGACCGAGCTGGCCTGGGAGGCAGGAAAGGAGGAGCGGAGGGAGGGGGCGCGGCCGCTCCTCTGTCCAGGCGCGTGATTGCTCTCCTGAGGTCACTTTCTAGGCAGCGCAGGCTCTTCTCTGGCAGAGTGGCTGCCTCTCTAAGGAATTGTGCTTCTCAGCCTTGCATTTCAGGAGCTAACTCTACCGATGCCTTCCCATTATTGCTCATGTAATTACAATTGCATTCCACTTTTCCATAGCCTATGGGGATCCTGAAATGCCTTATAGACAGTTAGTGTGCTACCACTGGCCTGAGGAATAAAGGGTACACTTTTAAGAGGGACATCAATTCTTGGGGTCTAGATGGGGATCATTAGGTGAAGTGTGCCTTCGGGGCGGGAAGTAACACCCTAGTGGCCTGAAATTGTTAGCACACCTTCAGAATGCTTGTGGTTTACGCCCTTACCAGTGGTAAGATTCACGTGTACAAGCTGGTGGTTTTTACTGCCTCCATTTTAAGATAAGGGTGATGTTGGGTGGGGGGTACAGTTACTAAAAGAGAGAGAAGCCAGAAACCTCTATCACGTTGAAGCTTCTGTGCATTAGAGTCCTCCTTTGTAAGCTCTGTGGAGACTGAATGTAGCATGTCTTCTCTGCTGCTGCCACTTAGTCTCTGTTGATATTTTAACCTTGCTTTAGTAATTTTGTTCTTTCTGTGTTCCTGATCTCTTGGTCTTTCTACACAGGGCTCCTCTGTCTTCCTGTGGGTTTCACAGTTTCTTTTTCTCTGTACCTTCATATATCTGTCCAGCCTGTGATTTTATTGCTATGTAGCCTCTCATAAGAGCTTACACAAGCTCATTGTTTGGCTTGTACATATACTTCAGTTGAGCACGTGAACATGAACACCCACTTTTTTCAGAGCCTCTTCCTTACTGTCAAGGTGAAGGGCTAGGACTAAGTAATCATTAAAACACTGACGTTCTGTGACTCTGGGAAATGGACCATCTCTTGTTCCCTGTTGCTGCTGAGGTCTGATAGGACTTTTTGGAACCTTTTAGGGAATTTAAAAGCCTAATACTTTATAAAGTATTTTTAAAGCCTAATGTTTATTTTATACCTTCAGATTGTGTTCATAAGTCTCTGATTTTCTATCTCAAAACATATAACACCAAGAGTGTTTTCAAAAGAACATGTATAAAATTTTCTCACCACAAACTTAATTGTCTCATAACTAGAAAAATAGAAAATTAGATACCTAAAACAGAGGGATTAAAAAAATCACACAGTAGGGTACTGTTAAGAACCTTTATTGGTCATATTCCTAAAGTATTTACCTACATGTTTCCCAAATTGAGAAGACTAGAATTTGTTTTTTAATACTTAACTTCCACAGTATCCTACTGAGGAAAGACAGTATGATGCACTGGCCTGGACTTGGCAAGTTAAGGGTCCTCCCACCAAGTAGACTGTCACCCACAGCAAACTAGGCCAGAGGCAGTAAACTAGTGCTTCGGAGAAGTAACCACTGTTCTTTCTTAACTCGGAAAATGTGCCTACAAATTTCATTTCATTCAGCATTTTTCAAAATGACCCGATATAATGATCAGAGCTCATTTGTTGTTATGATGTCCGGCTACTTGCATTTTATCTTTGGATTACACGTGTCCAACTTTATCCAAAAAGACCTTTCTCTCAGGCAAGCGAGCACTTGTACATGGCCTATTCTTCTAGTAGTTTCTCTCTTTTCCCCAGTGTTCCTCTGAGCAGTCTTTTTGTCAGGCTGTATTTGGGACTGTACATTTTGTTAACTTCAGCCACAGGGTTTTATAACTAACTTGATTAAAATTGTTAGCATAAGCCCAGGGTCTTAGAGTGGAAGGGAGACCTGATGAGGGAACTTAGCTTTTTTGAGCCCCTGCTATGTACCAAGTCCTATGTTAGGAGTTTAGTTATCTCGTTTAGTTCTTACTGAAATCCTGAAAGTAGGTGGTATTAGTCACATTTTGGCAGATGAGGCTCAGAAAAAGTGAATAAATGTGGCCCAGGTTACCCAGATAGTAAGAGGCAGAGTAGAAATTTGAGCACAGTCCATCTGTCTTCATGAGCTACACCATCTTGCCTCCCCGTAAGATGAGGCCACAAACCAGCCTTGTTCTGCTCCATTTCAGGCTTAGAGCAGAGGCCTTCTCCTTTACCTAAGTGTTCCCCAGGTGAAAGGAAGGAATTTTGCCCTTTAAGAGCACGGTTGATTTTGTTCCTGTCTTTGTGTTTAGCTTTTATACCCATAGGTTTAGATTGTACATCACTCCAACTCATGGTATCATGGGACAGAAGTTACAGATGAAATCATTCAAATCTTACCTTTGGAAATATAGGTCAGTTCCCATTACTGTGAACTCCAGGTCTCACACCAAGTATTGCTTGAAGTACAGTAGGCTGTCAGCCAAAGCTTGAAAGGGTTTTTGTTATGCAGACATCTCTGTCGTAATGGCATTTGTTGTGATGAAATTTGAGCTGTATAATGACATTCCTCTCAGAGGATTATAGTCCTTAGCTTCTTATGTAGAGAGCAACAAGCACTACTTTTCCTTATACTGATACCTATGTGTGTCATACGTTATTTGCCTGTTCGCATGTAAAAATAGGTCCTCACGTTTACGTTGGTCCTGACTGTGCCAGCAGAGTACAGTTATCATGTTTTCCCCGGCGTGATATCAGAGCCTCAGAAATTCAAATTTTGGAGGTGCTCTCTAAACGTGATTTAAATGATCTAAGGAAGGCTTTTGGGGTGGCCTTGATTCATTGCCTTACTGACATCAGTGGTTCCAAAGAAAGAGACCAGGTCAAGGTGTTATCTAACCCAGGTGAATCAGATTTTTCTCTCAATTTGCATCTGATGTTCTGCTTAGTCTTGAGGCATGAATACTTCATTCCATTTTTAAAATCATCCTTTAAGAGTTAGAGCCTAAGCTATCTGTTTCTTCATTCTATAAATGTATGTGTTGACCAGGCAGGCCCAACAACACTGGGAAACCTGGCCAAGTCAACTATCCCACCTCCTAGGACTTATGGAGAGGATGTTTTATTCCATGGCTATTGGTAAGTCTATGGATGATGATAAATACCAAATAGTAGTTAAGAGCATGGCTTTTGAAGTTAGATACCCTAAATTCATTTTCTGGCTCTACCACTCCTGGGTCTTAGCCTTGGGCACATTTACTTAATCACATCTGAAAGTGGAGACAGTCCTCCTAGGGTTGCTGAGATGAAGTTATATGCTTTCCACAGAGCTGGAATATTATAGGAGCTTATGGTGGTGATGGTTATTATTACAATTATAATATTAATTATCACTGTCCCCAAGAACTTGAAACTTAATAGGAATAATGAGGCCAGTACACAGGTAAATAAAATATAAAAGAACATGTGATAAGAGTAAGTAAGAAAGAGATGAGTATATTTGAACTCTGGAAATTCAGGGGAGAAATGAAAAGCTTGCACCTAGCGAGACAGGAAAAGATGGCATCTTTACCAAATCTTGAACAAAATAGGATTTCAATAAGTAAAGACAATGTTGAACATTACAGGTGGAGGGACTGGCCTGATTCAGGTATGGAGATGAGAAAACGCAGGGTGGCCTCTGGGAACTATGAAGTATGAAGTGTGAAATACATGAAATCAGGTGGAAGAGGGGAAGGTCATGATGTGCAGACATACAGGCTCCATCTATTTCTTAGAGGGCCTTAATTTTCAGGCTGAAATATTTGAATTTTATTTGGTAGACAATTGAGGGCCTATGAAGGGTGTTTTAGCCAGGAAGGAAGAGAAGGCTGGGAGACTGGTGCACTATGCTTCTAAAGTACATGGAGCCTCAACAGGGACGCTGTCTGTCATGGAAACGGAGAGAGAGAAACTGAGTGACACAGACAAACATGACAGTGGTGGAAGGAAGGAGACTAGATAACTAAATTGGGGCAGTGTTGACCAGGAGGTTTGGGCATGACTGGGAGAAATGGGAAAGCAGTCCCCAATGGTGGGAACAGGGAAGGAGAGGAATATTCAGCTCAGTTTGGATTGTGCTGAGTTTGAGGCGCCACACAAGAGTTAAGAAGGACGGGGGCCAAGAAAAGCCATTGGACTTGGTGGTTGGAAGGACTGAGAAGAACGATGGGGGTTGGGATTGGGAGAGGATCGTGAGGTTTCCACGCAGGGCTTTGACTAGAGACAATCCTTTCTCGTGGTCTGGTCATGAAAGAAAGGGAGCTTACATATAGTTTGTTTTTAAAACAAATGATGAGAAGGTAGAGCAAAAGACGATAGTGAAAGTGTAAGGAAGATAGGAATCGGGGGCCTGGAGAGGCTGGAGGCGTGGCTGAGGAGCGCGTGGGAGAGGCCAGAAAGATCCTGCCTGTGAAGACAGCAGGGTACTTAGGAGGAAGTAACAACAGAGCAAATTTCAGTGTAATGGGGGGAAATCGACACTCAGTACAGAAGCCCTGGGTCTTCTCAGTAGGTAGTAAGTATGTTTCTGAGACGATCAGGTGGAATTGAAGACTTAAAAATGGAAAAGGTGTAAAATGACAGCTCTGGAAAATCTGACAGAGGAAGAAATAGCAGGATTCTCGAAGAGCAGGATGGGCCCAGTTACACTTAGATTGTGTGGATTTCGGGCCCTGATGGTTTGGTTCTGGGGCTGCCCATCAGTGGGTGAGCAGACAAACAGAATCATAGAGAACCTAGAGTTGTAGATGACCAAGACAGATGTGGTAGAAAGTTAGGAAGGGTACTGAGTGCACTGGAACGTTCTCTGCGGTCAAAGGTAGGGAAGCTGCAAAGGGCAAAAAGTAGCT